AGGAAACCAATCGAGGCCTCCAAGCCCTCCGAACTAGAGACCTCATCCCTAGGTGAAGGAACCCCAAAGAAAGATGCGGGCAAGGTCCTCGTGTCCCCGGAGGTTGAGATCGTTCTTCCGCCTTCAAAAAGTATGCCAGAAGGGGCGAATGCGGAGACCCCCGAAGTTAATGAGAACGCCCCGAGTGACGAGCTCGGGGCCATGACAACAGGTCACTCCCTTTCTTTGCCAACCTATTTCGAGGACGCAATAGAAGAAGCTAACGCTCTGGGTATGCCCAATCCGAGCAAGGCCCTCGAAGAAGATCCCTTTCAGAGTTGCTTTGCTGGGGTCGATGATACCGCCGACCTTAACGATGCATCCACCCTCTTCGAAGAGGCCCAACATCTCCTCTCTCGGGTAAATACTTATTTTATTTTTGTAATTTTATCTTTCTTTCTTTTCCTTTGACTGATATATTTTCATTTTATGTATAGGCCATTGTAAAGTTTAGAGCTGAGCTGAGCCAATGTGAGTCCGAGCTCAAGAAAGTTTCAGGCGAAGAGAAGGCCCTGAGGCTCCTCTGTAGCCAAAAGGAGGAGGAGCTTAAGGATCTCCGGGTTGAATTGGCCAAAGCCCAAAAAAACAAGTCCGAGCTAGATGAGCAGGTAACTATGATATTAACAGGGTACGGTCTTCTTGGCCCTACTTCGGAGGCTAACACTTCGCTATCTCAGCTGCAACAAAAGTTGGAGATGATTGGGCAGCTCCGGAGCGAGGTTGATCAAGTTAAAGCTGATTGTCATAGGTGGAAGAAGAACATGGATCAGCTCGCTGCCGATAAGGAAGCTGTTACAGCCCAACTGGTTTCGGCTGAAACTCAACTCCGAGGCATTAAAGCTAAGGGTCTGGCTCAGGCCAAGAAGATGGAGGAGTTAGAGGTAGAGCTCGCTAGAGCCCGGGCCGAAGCTGTGCAGGCTAAGGCTGAAGTTGAGAAGACAAAGGCTGCGGCTGATATATCCATTGCCGTATACTTAAGGGACGCCGGGACCGTTCAAGCTGAGTTGAGAGAGGCCTCCGACTGGGAAAAATGGAGCAATGAGTTGGCCGAGTGCCATGCCCGGAGGGAGACCTTCGAAGAAATCCATGCCCGAGGGTTCAATCTTGCCGAGGAGATAGCCGAGGCAAAGGCGTGGGGAATTGATGCCAGGTTTCTTGCCTCTTCCGATGATGAGGATGTAGCGAGTAGCTCCGGGGACGGGGAAGGTGAAGAAGACGTTCCCGATGGAGAGGAGGCTCCTGAAGATAGAGCTGCCGAAGGTGCAGTTCCTGAGGACGGCGCTCCCGGGGATATGACCCCGAAAATAGATTAGGTTCTCTTTTTCTTTTCTGTGCAAGGGCCCCTTGCGGGCGTTGTAAATATGCTTTGTAAAACATCCCTCATGAATATAAAGTATCTTTTTGCTCTATCCTTAACTTGTGTTGAATTTTATTTTGTTTTCATTTGCAGAAGATTTCGATAATTCAAACAATCAGTCCGAGTATTGATTCGGATCAAGAACATAATAAAGCCTTAGGTCTTTATCGATAGATATAATGATCCTCGAGCTAAGTTTAGATCGATCCGATGTGAGCTCGGGATATCGTGACTCTTGAGTCCGGGTCGAGTGAGAACGGAGTCTCGAACTATAAGTTTGGCCCTTAAGCCTTTCGAAGTTAGCCCTTGGGCTCTTATATATCGGCCCTTAGGCTATTTAAGTTGGCCCTTAGGCTCTTTAAATTGGGCCAATTCGGCCTCTAGATTGGCTATATAATTTTTTTCCTCATTTCGGCCAAAAGACTTAGTGAAAATTTACTTATGCCTTAGCATGTGTTTTTTGTACCCGTTGGGTTTTTCGAAGGTTCGACGTATCGGGACCTTGCTTGTGTACTGATAATCGAATACCTCTTGAGGTTTTTCTGAAGGTTGATGTTATCGAAGCCTTTGGATGATTCGAGGGCTGAATTTATCAAAGCCCTTTATATTTTGCTTTTGCCGAGGGTAGCCCGATTTAACCGGTTTTTCAATGTTTGAAGGCCTTTATTTTATAGCGGAAATCGGACGTCTCCGAGCAGCATTACTTAGGTCGTAGCCTTTTTGTATGACCGTAGTCTTTAATATGGCCGTAGCCTTCAGGTATATCACTTGGACTTGTTTCCCGATAACTTTCGAACTTGTTTGAAAAGTTGGTCCCCGAGTATATCGGCCTTGGCCTTTGTTTCGAGGGGATGTCTCTTTGAGGTCATATGGGTTCGAGTTTTTGGTGACTCGGATGTATTGACTGTCGATGATAGTCCCCGAGTATTCGGGGGTGATTTTATGTTTTGGCTCTTGAGCCGTTTCCCGTAGGGTTATAAGTGTAGAGCTCGTATAATAGTAGACTTTTTTGGGATACAAAGTTTTTTTGATATAAACAGAATGCTTCTTCAAGTAATTTGATACATGCGTACATGTTTTGCCGTTAAGGCTCGACTATTCTATATGGACACGGTTCATCTGACCGTTTGGCCCATTACAAAGTTTTCCTATCGAGGCCCTCTTAGGCGTGAAGTATTCTCCTTGAAAATATAACCTCCGAGGGTGATGCCCCCCAGTATTCGAGGTTGATTGAAAAGAAGCCTTGGATACAGTTGAGTTCTTCTCAGGTAGCACATAATTGTTGCCTCATTAAAAACCTTGCTGGTAAAACCCATTTGGGACAAAATTCGATCTAAGGGAAAAAGAGTGCAACACATGCTTTAAAACCTAAGACCTTCGTGTAAAAAGGGTATCTTCGAGATCGCGGATCTTCGATAGCTTTGATCGAAAATCTTTAATAAGTTAGTTTTAGACTCAAATGGACAAAGGATAAAGTCGTACCTTAGCAGTAGTATCGTTTGAGTAACGATATGTTCCAGTTGTTTGGCAGTTGTCCACCTTCCATTGTGCTAAGTTTGTAAGACCCTTTACCGATAAGTCCGAGGACTCGGTATGGTCCTTCCCAATTCGGGCCTAATTTCCCCTCATTATGGTCTCGAGTGTTGAGGGTGACCTTTCGTAGAAATAAGTCCCCGATTCCAAAGTGTTGAAGATTAGTCCTTCTATTGTAGTATCTTTCGATCCTTTGCTTCTGTGCGGCCATCCGAACAAGCGCTGCTTCTCGCCTTTCATCCAATAACTCGAGGCTAGCATTCATAGACTCGTGATTTGACTCCTCCGGTGCATGTCCAAACCTGGCGCTGGGTTCTCCAACCTCGATGGGGATGAGGGCCTCGGAGCCATATACTAAGAAAAATGGGGTGGCCCCCGTGCTGGACTTCAATGTCGTCCTATATGCCCAAAGGACCTCGGGTAAAACTTCTCTCCATTTTCCTTTCGCATCGTCCAATCTTTTCTTCAAGGTTTGAATGATAGTTTTATTTGTTGACTCAGCCTGTCCGTTTCCAGTTGGATGGTATGGTGTCGATAGGATCCTCTTTATTTTGTGTGCCTCGAGGAACTCCGTCACCTTGCTGCCAATGAATTATTTTCCATTATCACACACAATCTCGGCCGGTATCCCGAACTGACATATGAGAGGACTCCGATTTACAGGATCAAGGGTCCGTCACAGGCCCGAGTTCAGGCAAGGTCGAGTTCGAAACCGGTGGACCAGATTCGAGCTCGTAGATAGAGTGCAGTGCCCGGAGATAGGAGTTCGAGGAATACCGAGGCCAAGCGTGCTCGACCCCTAAATAGTACCGTTATGGGTCTGTAACAGAATGAGCTAGATTCCTGCCACGTCCCCAAGATTATGGCGCAAATCCCGGAATAAGATTGTACGATTCCGCACTAGGCGGTTAGACAGCTGTAATAAGAATATTCGCTACTTTAAATAGAAATATTCCTTATTTAGGGTCCCGCTATCATAAAAGGGGGACCCCAATCATTTGTAACAGGATCTGATTACTGAGAAAAGAATATACACTCTACCTTTTTCGCCTACTTTCCATCAGCATTGTCCTTTAGCTCTATTGTTCTTACTTTGCTTTTATTATTTAATTGTTCTTATAATACCAAGTCTACCTCGAGGTCCCTGGGCTCGAGGTCACTGCTGTTGAGTAATATTGGTTTGATTCACTTCTCTCTTTCGTTTCTACTTCATACTTCTTGATTATTAATTGGTATTGAATTAAATCACGTAACTTTAAAACCACAAATCAAATTTAATTGTTACTCGTATTCTCGAGGTAAATACCATCTTTTGGTTATCATTTCATAAAAAGTAATTAGCACTTAATGGGATTAAATGACAAATGGAATTGGGCACATGATATGAATTTGGGGGATTAGCTTTGTCTCCCTGAAATCTTTTGAATGAGATATATCTTGATGGTCGAAATTTATTAACTCATGTGCTATTTTTCATTCCCTATGTTTCAAAAAAATTGACACCTTTTAATCGCCCGTTTGAGCCGGAAAGCGTACCGGATTTCAAGCATTTATAGTCACACAAATGCTACGATAGATTTCAGACTACAAGTTTCAAAAGTTTTACAGCCACACAAATGCAATGACTTATTCAAGACTACATATCTCAAAAGTCTTCTCTTCTTTATTAAAGTTTGTGTCAAGTCAAACTAAGAGCCTGTTTGGCCATGAATTTTTTTCACTTTTTTCGAAAAAATTTCGCTTTTTTTCAAAATCAGTGTTTGTCCATAAAATTTCCAAGTTTTACTTGAAGATGAATTTTGAAAATTTTCCAAAATTTGAAAACTCCAAAAAGTTGTTTTCCAAAATTCACTCAGATCACTCACAAAACTTCAAAAACAACCCAAAATTATATTCATGTCCAAACACAACTCTAATTTTTGAATAGCATTTCACTTAGAAATATTTTTTCTGAATTTTACAACTTATGTCCAAACGCCCACTAAGATAATCTTTTTGAAAGTAAGTTGTAATAACCAAGTTTTCGTTTTCAACAGTAGCACAAATCAACCACATTAAGGATATAAAATCAATGCATGAAGAGACTCTTGAGATAGTGAAACGTCTGTGCGAGGAACTTATGAAACAGGACTACTCTGAGGATACTGAGCTACTACTTAGAAAGGCAGTCCTTTTGGCAGCAAGCTCAGGAATTTCTGAAATCATAGAAGAGATCGTACGATGCTATCCAGGCGCAATTCGGTTTGTTGATTCTAAGAACCATAATTTATTTCTTGCAGTAATAAATCGTCACGAGAATGTGTTTAACTTTATATATCAGTTAAATTCATATAAACATTTGGTAACTGGTGATGAAGATACTTCTGGAAATAATATCTTGCATTTGGCGGGAAAGCTAGCCCCTCGATCTTAGCCGACTCAATCTTATATCAGGTGCAGCTCTGCAAATGCAGCGTGAACTACAATGGTTTCAGGTAATTCACTATTATGACTAATTGGCGCAACATTACTACCAAATCACAATTCGTTGGTTGGATACTTGGATTTAACATCATTCCTCTTTAGGTTTTCTACGGGTGAAATCTACAGTTTCTCTATGGGAATTATATACTTTAGAGAACTAACTAAAAAAAAAAAAGGAAGTCCGGTGCATTAAGTTCCCGCTATACACGCTGTCCGGTGAAGGGCAAGACCACAGGATCTATCATATGTAGCCTTACCCTGTATTTCTGCAAGAGGCTGTTTCCACGGCTCGAACCGTGACCTCTTTTTCACATGACAACAACTTTGCTAGCTGCATCCGGGGAAGGGCAGGACCACAAGGGTCTATCGTACGCAGCCTTACCCTGCATTTCTGCAATAGGCTGTTCCCACGGCTCGAACCCGTGACATCCTTGTCACATGGCAGCAACTTTACCAGTTGCGCCAAGGCTCCCCTTCAGAGAACTCCTCATTTAATTGGCTGCTAATTGGCGGCCTCATTTAGAACCCGTGACCTCCTGGTCACACGGCAGCAACTTTACCAGTTGCGCCAAGGCCAGAAGTCTTAAATAATTTATAGTATAGTATGCTATTAGCATAAGCTATTTTAAAAAGGTATTTAGGATCACGTTGGCTGCTATATAATCGTGTTTGATGTTTTCAGCACATCCATAACACTATTACATATACACAGGAAGTGGAAAAGTTTGTTCACCCGACTTTCAGAACAAAGAGAAACTCTTATGGGAAAACTCCCAAAATGGTGTTTACAGATGAACACAAAGAGTTGGTTAAAGAAGGAGAGAAATGGATGAAAGAAACTGCAAATTCCTGCATATTTGTGGCGTCCCTAATAGCAACAGTAGGATTTGCAGCAGCCATCACCGTGCCAGGTGGAAACAACCAAAACAATGGTTTTCCACTCTTCTCCAATGAAACAGCCTTCACTGTTTTTGCTGTTTCCGTTGCATTCTGTTTGTTCTCTTCTGTTGCCTCTGTCCTAATGTTCACGTCGAGAAATGCAGAGGGTGATTTTCTTAGACGTCTTCCGAAGAGATTGATTATAGGCCTTGGTACCTTATTCATTTCAATGACATCTCTGATGATAGCGTTTGGTACTACAATTTACCTGGTTTTTGGTCAGAAAAAAGGATGGATACTCATTCCAGTCGGCTTAGCAGCCCTCACGCCAGTAATCCTCTTTGAGTCCTTGCAATTTCCTCTCTTACTGGACATGTTTATGTCCACATATGGGCCAAGCATTTTCCGTAAGAAAAAGCTTGTCAAGTCTTATGATTGAATTTTCTTTTGGTTATTTATGTGAGAAAAGAAAAAGATTTTTAAAGAGTTGTATTTTAACAGCTCTTAAGCTTTGGTGAGATCTGAATAAATCGTCTAGATACGTCCTGTAATTGATTGACTTATATGTAGATTAAACAAAGTGGGACAAATCCATCATTTCATATTGCACTTTTTTTTTTCTTTCAATAATCAAGATTGCAGTTTAACAAGTGAAAGAATCACAGAGGTATGGAGCAGCAGCTTTTCAAGGATTTCTACCTCAGTTTGGGCAGCCCGGTGCACTAAGCTCCTGCTATGCGTAAGGTCCGGGGAAGGGGCGGACCACAAGGGTCTATTTTATGCAGCAACTTTACCGGTTACACCAAAGCTCCCCTTCAATCTACCTCAGTTATTCTGACTTACTCTTTCCACAAGTGTCAATCACTGAATTCTGGTACACAATGACCGCAAGAAATGTTTCATATCCAACCACCTATATCCAATTCAAATTCCGGTACACATTTTTGTAGGATCCTTAAAAGTTCCTGAACCAGCCACGTTAATTTGGTTACTAAGGTCAACAAGTCAGGTCCTCTATAAAGCGTAAAGATAGAAATTTCAGGTAACATCAGAAAGCTCCCAAATCAAAGCACACCTCAATTCTTTTCCGAATACCTGTTACCTTCCACCATCACAGGTATCGGGTACCTTTGTACACTAAGGCTTAGATACACAGGTATCGGGTACCTTTGTACACTAAGGCTTAAATAGATGGGAAGAGATCACCTAACTATTTTGTCTCATAACTTGAACCTGTTCACTGTTAAAATCGTTGAAAAAATTCTTACATGGCAAGCATGGTCTGCTTTCAGCTTTTTTACTGTAAATTGTTTTCATTCTCCAGTCTAGAAGCATTGTGGCAGAAGATTGATCTACCTTGGATAAACTAAAATCATGTGAATCAAGATATGCAGAAAGAATGTCTAATATATTATTAACCAATGTTATGTTCCCCAATTACAGATAAATATACCTAAATATGTAATCTACATAGGATGTGTAAGGTTCATGAAGCATAACCATGCAAACAAAATTTCTACTACACAATAATCTTTGTTGTAATGCTACAAATTCTTAACTCCAAGGATAAACTTCACCTTTTACCAATGGAAGATATGAGCATCCTCTAACCAAAACTTTGAAATAAGAAAAGGAAATAGAAGAAAAGATAAAGTTCTAGGACTATGTAAGCATTTAATGTTTTACTTCTATAGTTCTACTTTCGGTTTCTATGTGTTGAAGAAGGGGTAACAAGATATGCAGAGATAACTGCTAATCAACAGCAGTCTTGCTTTTTCGCGCAGTGATTGGTTTGGGAAGGCTATCAAAGATTGGTTTGGTAATTGCTGCAGCAGAAATTGCCTGAAAATCTGGCTTCAAATTCCATTTCGTTGTTGTCCACAGGGAAGATAATGTGCCACTACTATCTGAATCCTGCAAACTCGATGTACTCGATGATTTCCTAACACTTGTACTTTCGTTCAGTAAAGAATCATTCAATCCGATAGGGATAGGATTTATTGAACTTGCTTCAGTATCTGGTCCAGAGAGAGTTCGACTAGCTGACTTAGGTCGCAAAGCCAAACCTTTCCCAGCAACGGCAGAAAACCCGCTGCCACTGTTATTATCTTTCTTCAACAGTACTTCTGGGGTGCGAGAACTGAAATCAGCCTCAGATTTTTGACGCCTTCTTGACAATTTCTCGAACCATCTATCCGAGCCATTTTCTGCGCTATCTTGTGACAAATGATTGCCCAGAACTCCATTCTCTGACATATCATTAGCTACGCTTTTACATTTTCTATGAAGACTGAGTGGTGGATTAGGATGAGGGGTTGACTTGAAAAACGGTCCATCTTCTAAATAATGTGATACTCCTTTCCGATAGACAGCCATTTCAAAACCTTCAGATGCAAGTTTCTGAATTTCCGGTTTAGGACCACCATAATGTGAAACTCTTGGCTGGGAGGAAGACGTCAATTTTAGGGAGTGAAATGAACCAAACAAATCAGGGTATCGATTGCTCGAAGGAGTCTTCTCAGAGCTGCTTGGTCTGTCAAGAAACCAATTTCAGTTACCACGCAGCTCTGCAGATTGTTAGCAAAAAATATAAAACCACCAAAGAACTACAGCTGACCACAAGAACTAAAGATGCTACTCAAGAAGCCAGCGAGACAGAGCTAACTGCGTTACATAATTAGTATCATAAATACTTAACATGAACATAATATCAACTTAAAAAAGTAAGCAATCTTCACATAGCTTAGCAGTTCATATGAGTACTGTTCTGCAGAGACTAGTGACTGAGAAGTAATATGAATCATATGTATATTTAGGTTCAGATGTCTTAAGCTTAATAAAAACATACAAGGCCTTAGCTTTTCTACTCCATAATAATGTAGAACCGTATGATATCTCATTGTCTTGCAGGCTTTACCAACTTCATTCTAATTCTCAGTAAAAACCAATGCAGAATATGTACCTGAAAACAATCTTCTGCATCTCCATGAGATCCTTATTCTATCCATAATATGCTCTCGAGGGATCATTGTAAATAATTTTTCGCTTAAACATTGAATACTTTATGAAGTCAAGGCAAGAACCAACTAAACTTTAGCTTTGTATGCAAACAGTTAGCAGATACAAGATATTTTTGTGGACAAACTTTTCTTCTTCATTTTTTCAATAAAATTCTCGTGGACAAAGTAAAGCTTGCCAATCTTTTCAATTTTTTGACAAGGACAAAGCTTACAAATCTTAACACATTGAAAAAAGTGTTTTGCACTTGAAAGCGATGCTTTTCTCCTTCAAAAATTGAGGGCATTTCGCCAGAGTATGAGCCTTTTTAAGTCATTAGATAGGAAATAGTTCTATAAGTTAGTCCGAGATAAAGTGCACAAATGCAAACTGTATCCACCATGGAACCCTAACAATCTTACAACTAGTAGTCCACTAAGTGCTAATGATATGCAAAAAAGCCAATGCGGGATCCTACTTATTAATACTCCAGCTTGGTTACTTGCTGCTCCACCTGTATGTAAGGATTTCAACTACATAGTACGTACAGCCAAGATCTGATAATGCTGGTGCACTAGTTATTAAATGTTCTCGACTAGCAGATCACCTTATACACCTAATCACAAATTCTAATAGCATGGGAAAAGAAAGATGATTGTCCTTGAAATGCAAATCTCTAGTTCGAAAATGCAGCAGAGATCCACCTAAGACAAATGGGCTCATTTGAAGTTTTTCTCTGCCAGGCCCATACAAAGCTCTTGGCTAAACAAGCCATAATATCTAAGTGAAAAAGGGCTCGTTGACTTCTATTGATGAAAAATTAAATTACAATTACATAGAACCAGAAGCTGATATGACTAGTTCCATGTAGTGAAGGATGAAACAAAAAGATGAGAATATCCACCTAACAAATTAGGAGTAGATTATGGTTTGCTAACCGAAATTCTAATTCATCGATGCAAATTTCACCATGAAAACCAGAGCTTGAAGCAGCTAAATTTGTAAAGAAAAAGAAGGAAATAAGCTGAAGAAAGAAAAAGCTCAAACACGTCTAATGCCTTGATTCAACCTCAACTTAACATCTACAGTTATAAAGGCATCTCTAGGTAACTGTGGTCAGATCTCCATACCATCTTATAATAACGAGTTGTAATGCAACTGAGAGCAATGAATTTTGCAGACTGTGCGCGCCCATACAATAATCACTGATTTTCTGACAGAGTTGAATGCCGCTCTCGAACTAGAGAACCTTATATGGTTTACATGTCCATATTAAAACAGAGGAAACAAGCAACATATATTTTATGATAGACTGATAGGTAATGAGTTGGTCACATGTAGACAAGCGATTAACATAAATCTAAAACAGAAAATGGAAAAAGACTAGATCAGCGACTTATCCTCAGATTAGTACAAGCAGTTCATTTATGATGAAGGTTTTATTATCAGTCACTACAGGAAAAATTGGGAAAGAGACGCTGATATGAGATTCTAAAGTAAGAAAGTTAGAATACCCTTGGGTGTCTTGACCATTTGACACTATGGGTGATGGTGGATGCCTCCCGTGTAATGGTATTTGAAGTGTCTTTAGAGCAAACATTTGGAGGTCCGAAACCAGCCCATTCAACCTCTTAATATCAGCTACCTGTCACATTGGATACCATTGTATGCTAAAGCCATTATCTATCTGGAGAGAACAATCCCAGGTGCAAAATGATAAAGAAATGCGAGTAAATATTGGTGCACTTTGCTTTGCAATCAAAATAAAGCAAGCTCAAGTTCACAATTACATCAACTACTTGCTTTAGCATGTCACATAATGAAATAAGTTGAAAAATTCTAGAATCAGTGCACTGTTTATCCTTGCATTTGATTTCAGAATGTCCATAAAAATCAGCTGGCACTTTTACATGCAAAAAGACATGTACTGATGATCGCCAAAGGCAAACTTGTACGTGTACACAGAAATCTGTTATTATAATAGCCAAAAGAAAAGCTTTAGCCTTTAAGTGGCAGTGGATGGCTAATCACAGCTGTAAAATCCAGTGTACTGACAGCAGAGTTGAGAGTACATGGCAAAACGAGCTCTGCCGCTATGTATGTACAACCACTAAAAGATCCACCAGAATGTAGTGCTATAGTTAGGCTTGTTACCAGCAAAAACTACTAGAGCTGCTGTCCCTTCTTCGTTCCATCAGTTAGGGGCTCGCGGACAACACAGTAAAATTAAACCATCTCTACACCTATTCCTCTTCTTTTGGACTTAACCATAGGGAAATAACACACGATCTCTAACCTTTTGTGCCACCTGCTCAGTTTTCACTATTGCATCATTCACAGAAAACCTTTTCCATTTTATTTTGAATATGGTAAACCCCATCCCCATCGAACCACCTTTATCGGCATTAAACAAAGACTTTTCTCATTGACTGACTCGAATCCACAACCACATTTTATCTTTTAATGGAAATACATCAACTTTGTTCATTCAACAACCCCCAATTCCTCCATTCTTTCTATGATCAAACAAAAGTAGAAACTCAGGCATGAATCAAAATCTCATAAATACAGAAAATTTAATACAACAACCAAAGTGTCAGTCGCCAGCAAGGTGGGATCGGCTATACCAATCATCACTGACCAACGTTGCTCCATTTAAACCATAATATAAATAAACACACATTAAATTTAATATTAAAAAAATACCAATATTTTTATTAGTATTGTGAAAATACAAATAAAAATACAGAAAATTTAATATTAAAAAAACAAAAATTACCTCAACACCATATTTGATTGCTACACCAGGAAGTGTATCAAATTTTGAAACTTGATGTTCAAAATAATTCAATCCTCCTTCACCGACGCTACAACCACCGCTGCCATCACCAGCATGCGGTGGAGATGATGACCTCATCATGGCGGAGCAATCTCCCCCGCCCCAAAAAAAACAAAAATAGAGGAAAAAAAAGAACCTAATCCAGTTTCAATCTACATATTTTGATCAATTAACCAGTTACAAAGATTAAAATTATGTGTATATCATGATTCTCTAAATATCAAAAGAACCTAACCCAGTTTCAATCTACACATTTTGATCAATTAAACATGTTAAAAAATTAGAATTATGTGTATATCATGCTGCTTTTAATAACAATAAAGATTGTAATATTATTACCAGCAACCCCAAAAAAACAAAAACAAAAATTAAAAGAATATATCCCAGTTTCAGTTACACATTTTGATCAATGCCCATCTAGAAAACTAGAAGTAAAAATTAAATCTTGATTGGAAGATAAGGAAGAAATGGAAAATGAATATAAGAGATGATGACTGTAAGATTTAAAATAAAAAGGCTTCTCAGATCTGCCGATTTATTGGGTTTTTTTCTATAAAAAAAATATTGTTAGTTCCCTTTTTTCTGGGGAAGAAAAATGTGAGAGTGAATGAAAGATGAAGGTGACGGTGATGATAGGGGAATGATGACAAATTCCACTTTTTGCAGAATCCTTTGTTTTCCTCTGACTTAACCACCTTTTTATATCTTCTGAAAATGAAGTACGAAAATGAGGTAAAAATTTGTCTTACTTCGTGTTTCCACAATAATGTACAATTACTAAACTTTTCATAATTAATAGTAGATGGTTTTGTCAAGTTTCTAAAATCAATTTATTTTGAATTTTTTTTAAATACTTTTCAAAGAAATAATTTTTCTGAATAGTAATTTTTATTTGATTAATTAGTTTAAAAATTACTTTTGAGCACTAATTGATATTTGACCAAGTTTTAAAAAAATATTTTTAAGTATACTTTTTTCAAAGGTATTTTTTTAACTTTTTGGAGATAAACTACTTTTTCTGCTTCTCAGAAATTGCTTTTGTTTCTACTCAACAATATTTTTTTTCCTTCTAAAAGTTTGGTCAAACACTTTGACTTTTGGGAAAAGACTTTTGGCCAAAAAGAAGCTCGTCAAACAAGCAATCTAACAAGGTGATAAGAAAATTAGTTAGTTAAAGTTAAACAAGAGAAAATATATTTATTGGTTCTTTAGCGCGAATATTTTTTTATTATTAATGCATTTGGTTAAAAATTAATATGAATTTGGAAAGTAAATTTCTTATTATTTTGAATTAAAGTTTATGTTTTCGATAATTATAATTAAAATAGTATATAGTATCAAAAATTGTTGCAGACAAACAATTGTTTACCCTAAAAATCGAGTAACAATTAAACTTGTAATATGGTTTTAATGATACGTGATTTCACTTAATACCAATTGATTAACTTAGAGACAAATGATGGGAATTGACAAGAATGTAAAACAAACCAATGCTTGGACAATGCCCTCGAGCTTATGAACCCTCAAGAGTAGTGAAGTAAGAACAGTTAAAGAGCAGTAAGTTGATGAGCAGATGAAAAAATATTATATTGCCTTAATATTCGTGAATGTAAGGTGTTTACAAATGATGGGGACCCCTCTTTATATACTAGAGGAATCCTAATTGTGGTACAATTCTAATTACAAAAGTAAATTCCATGATTGATACAAATAACCGCCCTTGATTTGATCCGTTCCGAGATTTGCGTCGTGATCTCCAACCGGTTACGGATATTTCGCCTTTTCGTTATTGCGTTCCGCTCAAAGCTGATCATATATGGTCTCGATCGTCGGGGACCTCGATCTCGACGGGTACCTCGATCTCCGAACTCGGTACCTTGTCTTCGTGCTCAGGCTTGATCCATTACGAGGCTGACCCTCGATGCAGTTCCCTGATTTCAAAATAATGGCAAAATCGGGCAAGTCCGATTTTACCCGTATACAGATAGTCCCCTCGTTTCTTGGAGTGTAATGAGAAGAAATGAACTGAGTCTTCAATTTTGTACATCGACCAATTACGACGTCACCCTCGTGACGGAGGAGACTGAAGCGTCGCGTCTGCACAGTTTCCAAGACCATCATTAGTTCTAGTTAATGGTCGGCCGCTAGTGGTTTCAAACCCTCATAGCAATATTATAAATAGATCCTCTTTATAATTTTCTCAAACTTTATTTTCAAAACTTTCTTAATCTTCATAACTCTCCTTCCTTCAAGTTCCTTAATTCCGCAGATTATTTACATCCCGTTTGCCAATCCTCTTCTAAAATAACAAACTTCATCATCTTCTTTTTTCTAAACTCACATAGAAATGGCGAAAAATCTGAAATCGTTCCCCAAAAGGAAAAAACCTCTTCATCGCGGCCGATCGGTGATAAAACGTCGGTGGAGCCACCTATCGAGGAGTGTGTTCCAGGGTCGTGCAATCTTACCTCCGACTTCAAAGTCGAGAAACCCTCTTCGGTCCCTGGCCGATGTGAGCCCATATCGAGATATATATGCTCAATAACCGAAGGCGATCTCGAGCAGGTGAAAAAAGATTGTCATTGGGAAAACAAAGAGGTGGTCATTCCTACCCCTGAAGAGGACATCACCACTTACGTAGAAGGGTTCTTAAGTGTTTACACTTACCCCTTTACGCTGGGTCCCGTTGATCCGGTTATCCTCGACTTCTGCTATCAATATCGAATAACTCTTGGCTAGATACACCCTTCTTTTTGGCGCATTATTAACTTGCTTAGATTCTTCGTGAGCAAGATCAAAGGGATGCCATATACCCTCGACCACCTCATTAGACTGTATAGCCCCCATCTCTATCGAGGCGGATTAATAAGGTTCCAACGCCGAGCCACAAAGGTGTTGTTGTCGAGTATAGACGAGGACAAGGATCGGGGTGGATGGATCAATTTGTCTGAGTGAGGACCTCCGATATAATCCCGGCCAAGAAGATGTCATTCCCCGAGGAATGGAACATGACGCGTAAGCACAAACTCACCTATAGTTTCGTTTACCGTTTTGTTTCTTTTGTCCTTTCGTATTGACATCCTTTCCTGTGATGCAGCGGTTTCTTGAGTGCCCGGTGCAATCCCGAACCTTGAAGGCTGGGTTCAGAAACTAGCTTCGACCTCTTCGTACGCTGAGTGCTCATGGCGTGATTTGGCCGAGGGCCGATGGGAGGCCAAGAACCACGGTAAGCTTCTCTATCCCTGTTTGATGCCTTTCTGTGAATTGTTTCTTTTTTATTTTTACTTAATTTCCTCCAATACAGGTCTCAGAGATAAAGTTGTTATGAGGACGCCCCCTCTTGGGAAAGAGGAGACCCCGAAAATGGCCAAGGATAAGAAGAAGAAACGGGTCTCGCCTTCCGATACCCGAAAGCCTAAGAAGAACAAGGCTCGCAAGTCGAAGCAAGATACTGCCGCACTGTCTGAAAATGTAGTTAAGCAGCTACGATATGAAGAGGAAGAGAATGAAGATGCCGCCTGCAAGCTGGTGGCTCGAAAGAGGGGGAGCGCCGAAGCTTTGAAGGCAGCTGAGCCGGTGATGGTCGAGGATGCTCATCTTCGGACCGAGGAGATCTCGGAAGATGGTCCGAGCAAAGTCCCCGAGTCATCGGAGGCTGAAGATGTCTCTCGCTGTGACGAATAATCGGCGGGTGTGCTTGAAGTGTCCGGTTTCGAGGCCCTTCGAGAAGGAGAGAGCGCCCCAAATGTCTTGCTTGGGGCAATCAACATTGATGATTCGCCGCCCCTCCCTACGTTTTCTACGGGGCAAATTTGGGAGGCCTAGGATATGTACACCCCCGATGTGGGAACAGCCCACGAAAGGGATAACTTATTCCGTGCCTGCTTCACGGGGGTCGATGATATTTCTGACCTGGATGCATCGATCATTTTTGATGAGGCTCAGCGACTCCTGAACCAAGTAGATCTCAGCCCCCGTTACTAGGTTTACATTTGCTTTTATTTCCTTTTGTCTGATTTTCTTTCTTTCTCCATAGGCCGTGACGCTTGATCGGGAAGCATTTTCCAAATCCCGAGCAGAGCTGAACCGGTGTGAGGCTGATCTCAAAAGGCTCACGGAGGAGAGAGACGCCCTCAAACTCCTCTATGTGAAAAAAGAAGAGGAGGTCAGGGACCTCCGAGCTGAATTAGCAACGGCTCATAAAGAGCAAACTGGCCTAATTGAACAGGTAATGAAGAAGTTTGTTAGAAGTTTGGTGTGTTGATTCGAGGATGGCGACTGATACTTTGACCCTGCAGTTTCAGCAGAAGGCCGAAAAGATCGAGCAGCTTCACGAGGAGGCTGAGATGAAAGAGGCAGACTTTGGGGGTGGAAGCAGAACATGGACCGCCTCGCCTTGGAGAAAGATACTGCTCGAGCCCAGCTATCTTCGCTTGAGCGTCAACTCCAAAGCGTGAAGGGGGAGAGCTTGGAACGAGCCAAGAAAATTGAGGAGCTTGAGGCTCGATTGGCCGCTGAGCTTGCAAAAGCCGCATATGAGGCAGAAAGAGTAAAGGCCAATACAAAAGAGGTCGTGGCCGTCTATCTAGCTGATGCTGAAGCTGCTCACGCTCGAGCAAAGGAAATTTCCGATGCTGTTCAGGTTCGATCATTTTGTGTTGCTGAGCATGCCAAGTCTCAGTCTTGGAGAGATATTCTCGAAGAAATTCATGCTCATGGTTTTGACCTCACTACTGATATCGAGAACGTGAAAGTGCTCGAGGCAGAAGCCAAAGCTTTGCTCTCCGATGATGATGACTCCGGGAGTGCAAGTGGAACCGAGAGCGAAGAAGATGAAGGTGGAGCTCCCAAGGAAGATTAGGCACATAGAATTTTTTTTTTTTGATTTTTTGTGTAAGACCCATAGTGGTCTTTGTAAATACTTTTGCATATATGAAAGATCCCTTTTCTTTCCGATTTATGTCTGATTTCTATTTCGTGAAAACTCTATTTTGTTTTCGCCTTATAATAATTCTGATATACTTTAGGTCTTGTGAGAATTTCGACTCACTTCACTGCCTTGAAGATTTTGTTAAAATCGGATTGCTATAGTCTCCATAATCGAGCGAGTACTTGCTCGAACTCGGAGTAGAAAAAAGAAACCTTAGGTTTTTTTGTTAAGCGAGGGTGGGTCCTCGAGCTCAACAATGTGATGGCCCTTAGGTTCTTGAATCGAGCCGACATGGCCTCCAAAGAGTGACTTTTTTCCCTCTTTTCGGCTTAAAAGTTTTAATCATATAAAAATTTGTTATGCCTTAGCATGAGATAGATCTGTACCCGTTAGGGTTCAGTGTTGTCGAAAAACTTTGTTATGTCTTAGCATAAGTTTGTCCAATTTGGTACCTCTTAAGGTTTTCGAGGGTTGATTTTATCGAAACCCTATGTAATTTTGCCGAGGGTAGCCCTTTTTGAACCGGTTTTACGAAAATATTCAAAGTCCCATTTGATTACGGAATTCGGATGTCTCCGAACCTTGTTAATTTGGTTGTAGCCTTTAACTTGATATTTGCCCATTGGGCTTGTTTCTCGATTATACTTCAAACTTGTTCGAAGTATCAGTCCTCGGGAGGGGTGGTCGTGGCCTATAAAATCGAGGATTGCCTTTTTAAGGTCTTAAGATTTCAAAGTTTGATAATTTGAGTATGTCAAGTTTCGGACGGGAGTCCTCGAATGCGAAGCTGATTGCTCAAGCTTTAGTTGCGATT